CTGCTAAACACATAACGCTGAGTGGAGTGGAGTACCGCTCCAAGATGGCCGCCCTAAATCTCGTCAGCGACAATAGTCCATGAGGCGTCTATCCTTATATTATGTCTATGGGCTCAACTACTTCAAGTCACCAAGTCGCAGCATGAAGCTAGCTAGCAGCTACAGTAGTTAGCGGTAGCCTCACAGTCACAGAATGCAATGAAGCTAGTTAGCTAATATTTGCAGCTAGTTAGCGGTAGCCTCAATAAAGATGTCTCAAACTTTTGCCTGACAGAAAAGTCCCACCAGACTTTTAACTCTTCTATTCTTATATTAAATACTGACATATAATATTTAACATTAAATGGTCCGGCCAACCAATAGGAGAAGCCGTCCCCGCCCACTCTACAGGTGAGGGTTACCTGAGAGGGAGCCAGCAGCTCCCCGGCTCTCCTGCCGCCGCTGAACGGAACGACTCCGGCACCGGCCGCCTGGAGGTTGATGGGGGACGCCTGCAGCGGCTCTGGCCCCGCCGCCTTCTGGCCGTTAATGTGTGCAGTCACCATGGAAACGGGGGCCTTGGCCGGCACCACGGAGATCGCGATGCCCTGGCTGGGGGGCTTGATGAGCGACAGCGGCTTGGTGGTCCCCACGGGACAGCTTCGGACGGCCAGCTTCTGCGGGAAGACAGGCAGGTGAGTTGATACTTCGTCGCCATGACAACCCTTCCCCCACCTTCCTCAGCTTCTTCTAAAAGGTTTCCCCATTCCTTTTCATCCGCTCTAAATATTTCATATTTCTGTTCAGGCAGGCAACTAAAACAGTCGAGCTTCCAGAAACACCCTACGAGTTTTAAAGACATTTTCATATTCCAGCTAATAAATAACAACAAACCAGAACCATCCAGAACCTGTTGGGTCCCAATTCCTCTCCACCAGCAGCTTCCTGGGAAGCTTTTGTTTCAGGGAATCAATGGAATCCGCAGGCGGCCCAAACAGCCGCCTGCTTCAGGACCCGCTGGCCCGCCGCTCGCCATTCAGAGCCGGGGCCCCTCCTATTGTCTGAAAGGTCACTCATTTAAAGCCTCTGCAGGCTGGAGACCTGAGACGGGGCCCCTCCCGGAGGGACGGGGGTCAGCAGGTACCCAAAAGAACACGTTAAAACGCTCAGAGCTTTTCAGACACACCTAGGATCAGATTCATGGAGCTTTTAACAACGGCTCGCACTAAAAATAAACTTTTAATCAAACAGGAAGCTTTAAAATAGGAGGAACCAGCAGTGAATGTCAGAATGACTGCAGTTTATCTCAATGCTGGGAGGAATTTTAATTATTTTTAATTCAACCAGTCCACATCCTGTTCATAGACTGATCTTTGAACCTCAATAAAGCTACAAAAAACTTTCAACTGTGGACGTTCGTTATTTATGCAAACGTCCAGTTTTATTCATTTTATTTAATTTCTAAGCTACAAGAGAATCCAAAAGTAAAAAACTGTACGGAGGTCCAAGTTATTCATCTGATTGCAATCTGTTGAGGACAGAAACACAGTTCCATCCTGAACAGGAAGTGACCTCAGATCAGCTGATGGTTCTCTACTCTAGCTGTGATCCATTTTGTGAAGTTCTGGACCCTGCAGACCAGAACCGCCCACAGAGCTCCACATTTTACACTTTAAAATCATTTATTTAACACATTTAATCAGAGAAAATCAGAGTTAAAATGAAGAAACTTCTAAAATCTATAGATCCGTTATCATGAGTCAGCAGTTTTTCCTCTCCCGGTTTTAGCGACGTTCTGCTGTAAAGTTGCTCATTCAGCAGGAAAACTGAGCATTTTGAGCCTCTCGACTGGAGAAATTTAATTGAGAACGTGTTCGGCTCTCCGAGTCCGTAGTTAAGGTCATTCTGGGCTGTTTACGGCCAGCCAGCTGGATTATCCTCGCTCATTATGCTCGCTGTTTTGATAGGGGCCTTTGAGATAAGGAGGCCGCTGGAAAACGCATTAGTAGCTGTTCAGATTTCCATCAGCGCGGTTGCCAGACGCTCTCTTTGTTTACACTCCATTTACCAGCGAGCTGCTTCAGTCCTGGAAGGGGCTGAGGAACCGGGCGGCTGCTTTTCTTATTCCCAGAGGGACAAAACAACGTCAAATCCACAGGACTGGACCATAGAAATGTTTGGAAATTAGTTTTAGAGTCGTGAAAGTGAAAGCAGATAAACTCCCGCCATGAGCTGCAGGTGCTTGGTGTTTCAGTATCGAAGTTTTGAAGGTTTCCAATCTTAAAAATTCACTTTTTGTCTTGGGCTGAAATGATTAATCGTGAATAATCAATTGTTGAAATAATCTTCAACTAATTTATAAATCAATTAATAATTAATTGGAGGGTACAGACTCAAAAAAAGGCCATTTGCTGAAAAAATGACCAGCTTAGAGCAGTAAATAAGCCAAAATTGTACAAAAAATATTTTTTCACCTTCATCTGTCGATATGTTTTACCCAAATCTCTTCAAGTGGCAGTTTTAACTTCACCTGGTTCAAATTCACTAAAGGAATGCCATATTGCCACATTTTAGGAAATAAAATTTTTATTTTCTTATTTAAAAAATGAATGTAATTATTTATTTGGCTCTTTTAACGTATTTTTCAATATTGCATAAAAAGTGTAAGAGGTCAAATGAAACACCAGCAGAATGTGGCAACATTTTATCTGATTAATCATCGAAATAATTGATAGAATAATTGTTAGTTGCAGCTAGAAGTGCAGAAAAAATTGATTCTACAGGAAACCGCAATACGAAGCTCTCATGTAACGTCTCACTTCTGGAAACTTTGTAGCTGACGGCCATCTTGGTAGGCATCCGTAACCATGACAGCAGTTGCTAAGCAGTTGCTATAATAATAAAAAAGCCATAACTAGACATACTTAGAACTAGCTCTTGCCTTGTTCCTATCAAACTTATAAACAATATAAGTAAATTATAACTATTAGTTGATTACAGTTTGTGAGCTCTCTACCTTCATTTTGTTGATTTGGAAGCTGTGGTTCATCTATGCCTACCAAGATGGCGGTTCAGAGATGTAGGAACTACGTATTCCTAGTTGTGGGAATTCTGTATCAATTCAAAATACTAAAAAATTGAAATCAAAATGTGCTGAAGTTGTACGTTTTTGCCTTAGTACTCCTGAAATAAGACAAAATTAACTTACAAACTTTTCAGCAAGAAATAGGAGCCTGTTTTAAATCAATAAGTCCTTAATATTGATGAAAAAGGTCTAGTTTCACTGGCAGATTATTTCACTTACATCAAGATATTTTCCCCATGCTTTAGTGAAATAATTTTCCAATGGAAGAACTTTTTCATTAATACTAAGGAATTACTGACATAAAAGAAGCTCCTATATCTTGCTGAGAAGTCACTTTTTAGTTAGTTTTGTCTTATTTCAAGGGTATTAAGATATTTGCACTATAAACTAGACCAAAAATACTTGGTAAGATTTTGTTTTTGCAGAGTTCTGAATCTAAAATCATGTCTAAATCAAATCGCTGGACACAGAAACATTCCCATCTCTAGTTGCAGCCCAAATTAAACTCAAATATTTGGTTTATTGTCAGAATTTTGTTAAAAGAGGAACAGAACAAATGGTGTCAGGAAGCTGGAATGGGATTGGGATGAAGAGGATCGACTCGCTGTGGGACTTCATGTAGAGGCGGCAGAAGAACGACGCTCCTCTGATCGGATCGAGAATGAACTCGTGAATATTTTATGGAGACAGCAGGAGAAACTGCCTCATGTTCTGAATCACCTGTTAGCTGCTGATTTCATGTTTGGAAAACCAATGTACTGAAGATAAATGTTTGTTTATGTTTCTCATTGGTTTTCCTTCCACATTATGTTTAAATTTAAGATTTACATGTTTCAAGTTCAAGTGGAACAGAGGAAGTTTTCCCTAGAAGCCATCAGCACCTCCGTTGGCAGCCATTTTGGTCCACTCTTCTGTTTTCAGAGATTTAAATGAAGGAAACTCAACTTCTGATAACTTGAAGGAATTTCTTCAAAGAAGATTCTCCAGTTCTGGAACTTGGGTTGGAAATATCAAGTTATAGAGGTCACCAACAAGGTCATCATGGAGTCTCTGGTATCGATGCTTATTCAACTCCCTGTGGGTGTCTTCAGTGATGCCAACATGAACAATAAGAAGGAAGGAAGGAAGAAGGAAAGAAAAACTAGCAATGAATGAAGGATGGAAAGGACACTGAAGGAAGGACATAAGAGACCAATGAACCTGCGGTCTGTCGTCGCTCTCTTCCCGTTCCTTGTTAATAACTTCCTGTAATCTGACGGCCTTCACAGCAGCTTCCCTGCAGAGACGATTAAAACTCCTTTCACTGTCGCCTCTGTTTGATTCTGTTCAGGAACTGAATCAATACCTCGGTGTTTCAGCCTCCATAATAAGCAGCTCTGATTGTTAGTCTAACTGCTCCGGTTCTCCAGCCCGCCGGCAGATAACAATCACATTAAAATGTTCATTATGCGGCTGGGAGACAAACACGAGGAGGCGGCCGGCGCTCCATTCATTTCCCACATCATGTGGTCAGTCTCCGCCCGACAATAAATCCATTTAAATGCAAATCAAACGCGCCTGCAGCGGCTTTTTTTACTCAGAGTTCATCGGAATGTGACCGAGGGAAGGAAATATTAGGACGCCAACGACCCGATCAACCGATCAATAAAACATTATTACTACATCAAAGAATCATCTTTTAAAAATCTAACTTGTCTTTAAGATTATTTTGATAAATCCTGCTTTTAATACAGAGATGTAATAAAGGAAACAAAGTTCATGCAAAAATGTAATTTTTCTTCCTTTTTTTTTTTTTTCCAATTAGGTCAGGGCCGGCCCAAACCTTTTTGTAGCCCAGAGCAGATTTTTAATCCGGGGCCCATCTATACTCAAACGAGTTGCAACAAATTTAAATTTTTCTTTGGGATCAAAAAAGTATTTTTGAATTTGAATAGGCCTGTAGAAATAAATCAATTAATCATATAATAAATTGAAACAAGCAAATGATTTATAATTTTTCTCTTTCTACCAAAAACTGGATGATAAGTCTTCAGGCTCAACTAGTCCCTTTTTTAAAAGGACAGTTTTGTTCACAGAGACTTGTTAATTAATTGTATTGTTTTTATATATATATATATATATATTTTTTTTTTTAAAATGTCTTAAAGTTAAATCCTTCTTTAGAACTGAAAGTTTATTGAGCTTTGAAAATGTGTTCTTGCATTATTACTAAAATGGTCTCAACCAATATTATCGTTTAATGCAATTTTTCATCCAAAAAAATTGTTATTGTGATGAGTCTAGATCAATCACTATAAAATCCAATCAAATCATGCTCTTGGGGGCCCCCTGCTGGTGTGGAGGCCCTAAGCAGCCATCTGACTCGCATTGCTTTGGGCCGACGAACTTTCATGTTCAAAGTGAAAAGCAGAATATTATCGATTTTATTTTAGTCCAATTTCTGGTTCTCCATGTTTATTTATATTTTCTGAATTTCAGAATAATATATCTTTCTAAAAAATTTTTTTTTCATAAAGTCAAAATATTATCCATCATGGTGGTGATGATGAAGGCAGTTTACAAAGATCAGAAGGTCAAACTTACTTTAAACGCTTCAAAAATTAAAACAATCTAACCTAATACATATATTCTGAGTTGAATACATGGAATAAAAGATTATTTGAAAAACCACAGATTTATTTAAGCTATTTAATTAAGTCCTGGTCTCTGGTTTCAGTAGATTGTTGACACAATTTATTGTTTTGTTCACCTCGAATCTGAACTTATTTAGTCTCATTTTTATCAACAGGTTGTGTTTATATTTGTTTTTAAAACAACAGAT